CAATGGCCAGAAATAAATAAATCAATAGGTGCAGCTTTAAGCACAGTGCTTAGTGGCCATATGGGAGTGGACTGATAAACCAGTGTTGGTGTTAAAACCTGAAATTAAACACAAAATTCATCATAATAAATTCAACTGTTGTAGGTCCAAACTCCAAAATATGGATGTTTTTGCCCACGTTGTAGCTGCTGGCCCCCTCACACAGTCCTCCAAACTAATCCTACACTCTGATTCATTCTGGATGACAGATAAGAATCTACGCCAGCACACCAGCCCCAGTAGATTTATCTCTTTCTGGTCGACTCCTGTGTTTAAGCCTCTGAATCCAAGCATACTCAGGCTGACATATGGCAGTATGTCAGAGTGAAATACAAACATGTGTCTTTGCAGACATGAGGATATGTGTGTGTGTGTGTGTGTGTGTGTGTGTGTGTGTGTGTGTGTGTGTATTCCATTTCATGGTGCTTCCTCAGGAGGAATTTAACTAAAAATTGTACGAGTGTCACTGCAGTTGTGTTGTTAAAGGGTAAATGAATCAGCAACACAAAAAAAATAGCAATATCAGCTCAGCATGCTCTGGATGCTTTCAAAAATGAACCTATTTTAGGCCTGCATGGAAAAACGTCTGGAGTACTATTCACTTTGAAGCGCCTGTATAAGGGCCTGTTGTTGAACTTGTACAGATTCTGCTATCTACACTGTTTTTTGGCCTAATTTTGTACCCTTACTAAGCAGCAAAGCAGGCAGACAGAATTAACTGAAAGTAAATATTCACCATATTTGCCCACTTAAAGATATGCAGAAGACTAATTTTAACTGAGCTTATTTACTGTATAGTGCGTCATGGTCCCAAATGTGTTGCCCTTAAATAGGCATGGAGTTTGTCTGTGAGTGTGATTACAGCTGGAGTAAACAGCTTTAACTTCACTGAGGTAGACTGAAACAAATAGGTCTAGTGGGAAAACCGGTCTTAGACACAAAGGAGACCTAAACTCTGATGACAAATCAGTCATTAGGATTTGAAAGACTGGAAGCTGGGTTTGAAGCGTGAACTGTAGATTTGTCTTCTAAATCAAAATCTTCTCTTGGGATGCCTGACACTGCTGAGAAGGATGTGAAGATGAGGATGTTAAAAACACTGACAACTAACCTGCTTTGGGACTTAATGGGCTCAGCCACCCAGCCTGTTGACAGGCATGATGCCACACGTTTTTTTTGGGCCAACATCCAGCCATTTAAAACAGTAGTTCTACTCAACAAAACAGGTCTGTAGTCTTTCATTATGCGTTGATGAAATAATGCTGTAATCTTGATGTGAAAAGCCTACTCTCGTTTGTCAGTGTCTTTTGACGATTATTAGATCATAGTGTGAGATTCTGGTGTTGTAATCGTTTATCATCTGCAGACATTACGCAATCACCACCGGATATTGCAAAACCTATGCTAGTTCTCCTGATTATAAATCAAAAACAAATCAAATCAAATTTTATTTGTATAGTGCCAAATCACAACAAAAGTCATCTCAGGACACTTTACAAAGTAAGGTCTAGACCTTACTGTTATCAATTTTATTACATAGGGAAAACCCAACAAATCCCCCTTGAGCAAGCACTTGGCGACAGTGGGGAGGAAAAACTCCCTTTAACGGAAGAAACCTCCAACAGACCCCAGCTCTTGGTGGGCGGCCTTCTGCCTCGACCGGTTGGGGTGAATGGATAGAGGAGAGACAAAAGAAGAAAAGCAACAAGACACAACAATCAAACACTGATCAGGTCGATGTGGCTGGTGACTGCTCGTCAGAGACGTAGAGCTCCAGGGCCAGGGCAACCTGCAGAAAGGTACAGGGAGAGAGAGAGGACACACTACGGGAGAGAG